ATGGGGGGTCAGATATATACACATTACATTGTGAGGACCAAATGTCCCCACAATGTGATAAAAAACTGACGTTTTTTTTGACGTTGTGGGGACCATTTTTCAGTCCCCACAAGGGGAAATTCAATTTTATAAAAATGTGTGAATGCAATTGAAAAACTAAAAATGCCAAAAGACTTGTATTTTGTTTGGTTACTTATGGTTAAGGGTAGGGCTGGGTAGAGGTTAAGGTGGGCTGACCTGGGATTAGGATTTTGCCCATAGAAATGAATGGACAATCCCCACAAAGATATAAATACAAACGTGTGTGTGTGTGTGTGTGTGTGTGCCCTGTGATGGACTGGCATCTGGTCCAGGGTGTACCCCAGCTGTCAGCTCCATGCTGCCTTGGATCCCTACAGGTGACCCTGGGTAGGACAACCATTTAGAAGATGGAGCGATATATCAGGCCAGCTAAGGAAAATCTCAGAAATCAGGTAATCAGCTAACCCTTCAGAGACTGAGTTCTGTCTTCTCAGCTCCTTCCAAATTTCCTTAATTACAGTACAACATTATTGCATTTGTCTGTATTGGTATTGAGTACCAGTCAGAAGTCCTACTGAACTTTTTCCTACTGAAAATCATTTTTTTTCAAGATAAAGTTCTTAACCAAGCCTCGAGATTATGTAAGTGGATGTGGTGCTGCGGGAGATTATCTGCCCCCCACAATCCCCCCACTCAAACTCTATAAAGCTGTTTTTGGATGAATAAAATTGAAGAGTAGGAGCACTTTTCCTCCGCACCAGGTACCGTACTTTTGGAACTTCAAAAAAGTAAAAAAGAGTATGGTACTTCAAGTTGGTGTAAAAAATGGTACCACCACTGAATGACATCACAATGCAAGGCGGGGTATTTCGTGCTGAATTCAAAAAATGCCTATAGCATGTTATAGGGCAGGGAGATGTGCAATATTAATACCAACATCGCATGTCATGCACATGCAATTCTCATATTACAGGGTCATACAGCAGGGTTGCGATCAGGCTTTTTCATACCTTCGTACTGTCCAGACGTTATAGTGCAGGGAGTTTCACTAAAACATTTTTACTCTGTCATAGGAAACAAAACGTAGCAAGCTTTGCAATTTTAATGATTGTTCCTTTTCAAGATTATCTAGTACATGTTTTAAAAATCAGTTTAAAGTTTATCACTGCTACTTTACATGAGTTCTGCATGTGTTCTCCAAGCAGATCGTAATTATTTTCATCCTTGATGTTTAAATCACTCATAGATGGGTTTGTGAGATTTTTTTTCACATTTTGCTTTATAAATATCCTAATATTTATTCCAACAAAATCACATCGTGATATTTGAATTTTTCTGATATTCACCCCTCTTATAATAGTGTGTGCCCTATTATATTATATTATATTATATTATATTATATTATATTATATTCTTGTTATGTGATCCAGATCTTCTTCCGATTCTTGCAATTAAAACTTAGGTCTCTTAATTTGTCCATGCTACATAATTATTACTATTACTATTATGGTACATTACTTAAAAATCTTTGCTCCTGAAATACTGTTTTGCTACAAGTGTGTTAGCTGCATGATAGCTTGCACTTGGTAGGGCTCTGTAAAAATAAAATGTATTAATCTGAGTGACCCTTCTTCAGAACTTCAAAGTTCTATGAGGGGATTTGGGTCTCTGTGGTCACCTCTGCATCCGAGAGACACGCGGTGATGGGATGCAAGTCGCTACCTGCGACTCCCTCCCGGAGAGTCACCCATTTGGATAGTGCCCCCCCTAAATGGATACCATAGGGGGGCGACTCGCCTCGCAGAGGCTCTGAACAATGGCTCCACCAAGGGGGTGTGGGGGTGTCCCCTGGCATGCCACCAGAGGTCCATCTGTGCTCGGCCTATGTGCATGAGATAAACCCCCACTCACCCCCAGCACCTCCACCTGCTGTGTTAGCCTGGGTGCCCCCCCCCCTCCAATTCTTTTATCATTATTTCTTTTCCATACTTGTCCACCTTGGTTTGTCAGTAATCAAGCGGACTGTGTGTTGCAGTTTCCCGTTGCAAGGCTGCATTGCTGCAAGACTCCGCATGTCGCATGTAATGCAAGGCCAAGGAAGTTTCCGGGTGCATGCATGATGCAAGAGGCACTTGTGCGTAATTAAGTATATCGATGCGCATGCTTTCCATTGTATACAGCTGACACAGACACACAGGATCCTCCAGAACACCCCCCCGCACCTCGGCCCCCGTACCCCGCAGTGCTGTTTTTGCAGTTTTTTGGGCCATAAAGAGCCCCCTCCTCTGCCGGCCGCTAGCTGACCCACCCCGCAGATGGCTGGGGATCAGAGGCTGTCAGCACACTTAGGAAAGCCAAGAGCCGTGGGTCCCGCCCAGCGGGGGGGCACGGCCGCTTGAATGGAGGCATTTCCCCCCTGCTCTATAGTCACCCACTGGGCATTTGTAAGATGATTTGTGGCAAATTTGTTTAATCAATATGGAGGTTCCCTCTTCATGTCTCCCGGGTTTTCTGAGATGCTCCGCATCAGAGAGGATAAACTTACATTCAGCACCCTCCAGGGCACAAGAAAGCGAGTGCAAGCAAAGCTTTGGATAAAGTGGTTTGGTGGGGGGGGGATGAGTAGGATTGATGGACAAGTTCTGTTTGGGTTTGCATGGAACGTTTTGTATGGATGATCAGGACGGGCTTGCGTCTAACGGGTGCCAAGGAGATGATGCCGTGTAATGCATGTGCGTTGCTATAGCGATGAAGGGGACACTGCTCCAGGGGGGAGGGGGGGGGGTCTCTGGCGTGTGCCAAGATTGTATGCCGTAGGACAGGCGGCTGAGAAGACAGGTGTCTTCAATCTCAGTCACAGACTTCCATTGCTGTGTAGTCACAGGACAATGCAACAATACGAGAGAGAGATGGATGGATGGATGGATGGATGGGCTCAATCTGAGCCTGCACCTTGCGTGTGTGTGTGGGGGGGTTGTATGTACTACATCGTGGGGACCAACTGTCCCCAGAATGTGGTAAAACCTTTTACATTTTTCAGGTCCCCACAATACCTTAATTTACAAAAAATCTCTGACTGCAATAAAAACACTAAAAATGTCTAAAGTCTTGTATTTTGCTTGGTTACTTATGGTTAAGGTTAGGGCTGGGTAGCGGTTAGGGTTGTCATTATTGGGATTAGGGTTTTGTCCATAGAAATGAATGGACGCCCCCCCCCCAAAGATGTGAATACAAACATGCGTGTGTGTGTGTGTGTGTGTGTGTGTATGTGTGTGTGCGTGCGTGCGTGTGAGCGAGCGCCTTTGAAATGCACACATCCCTCTGAAAGCGTGGTCCAGCAGAAGAGCGTCACAAAGGGCCGGTCCGCTTTGGGCACCGACTGCCCCATTCAGCCACTAGAAGCCATGTTCACTTCACAGAAGCCTGACATGCAAAATGCTGTTCAAACAACCTGCATTTGCATCTATATAGACAGATGAAAAACACATTTGCCCTTTAATGCCTTGAACAGGAAGGACAGAAAAAACATATACAGGATATATGACAGAAACCAGTGGTATCCATGCAAATCCGGAGAATTATGGAAACCAAAACCATCATAGCCACACAACAATGTCACTGTGATATATTCAGACCTGCAGAAAGATCTTTGGGGCAAGCAGGGACCTCCTGTGTAGGACAGTCTGATGCATTAATCTGAATGTAATTCTGAGTGTTAATACGGCTTGATTAAATAGAACAATTACTCGCTGTCTAAGCTTATCAGCATTTACCTATGTTTATTATTTTAAATTAATATATTAATTTTGTTTTGTATTAATTGTAATACATAACAGCTGGACAATAAACATGAACAACAAATAATGGATGAAAAAACAAAACAGTACAGAACAATAACTCCGTGCAATAACAGGTCTACAGTATACAATTGGTGCAAGACAGGGTATATAGACAGCAGCCAATACCAATGTATCATTGAGGTATTAATGCCAAACCTGTGCAATTACTCTTGAGATACTTCTCTTTTAGGGTCCCATATTGCTGGCTTTTTAGCAAACGCGTGCATTATTTCTTTTTATTTATTGTTTTTTTATATTAATTAAACCGCGTATGATTTTAAACAAAATAAACTGCATTATCGATGTGTCTTTGAGGCTATCTTGCAGAACTTCTTGAATTAGTCTTGGAATGCTGCTCTTTTGGGATCCCCTCTTGCTAGCTGTTCAGCAAACAGATGCGCGTCTTTGCGTGGACAAGCTCTCAGGACGACCTGCACCTTCCCCCGCGAGACGGGCCTCCTCCCCCACGTGACCAGGCCCTATCTTACACAAATAAACAATTCGGAGGCGTCCCGAAAGAGCCGCCCCTTCCCCTGCCGTGTGAAAGCCGCAGCTGAGATCACTTCTCAGATAAGATAACGACCGGCCCAACCTACAAGTGAAGGCATTCTGATTTTGTTTTCTTTTTTCCCCGCATTTGCATTTGACAAATAAAATCCGGCGGGGATGAGCCGAATGTTTTTAATCCAATATTTTCAATTTGAATAATTTTGAAACTCTTTCATCTGGTATTTGCTTGGCGATGCGCCAAACGGCGTGGTGTTATTTACTGACAAACTTTACTGCTGCATTAACACCAAATTATAGTTTGCAGAATTTATGCGAATTTTACAATTATTCACTTTGGATCCTCCGACGATGCAGATTCTAGTTTAATATCCTTGCTTCTAATGTAGCAGACAGGAGATAATTATAAATAATAATAAACAATATAAGCAGTTTAGTAGTATGGCTAAAATATTAATGAAGTTTTTGTATGACGCCCAAAAGTCATATATGCGACATATATGCACATTGCTGCAGTAGTAACTCTTCTTAGTATTAACTGACATGTACTGGTTTTTATTTGTACTATTAGGATTTTTGTAGATTTTGTAAACAAAGCTGTTGCTTTATAACATCGCTGTAATTCCTCGTTAGAAAAGCCGGCTAAAAATCATCGTGTTGTCATTTTCGGGGTCGATTGAACAGTAATAATGCGTCTCCTGGACCACACAATTAATTTCCAGCAACAAAGGTATGTATGAATGGCTCTCATTGAATTCTTTTATTTCAGAAATGCCCACCCCCGACCCCCCAAAAAACCCGTAAATGGTATCAAATTTTATTTTTCGTTAACCGAGCTTTCAAAAGCCATCCATCGTGTCTGGTATTTTATTGCTTTTTATGTCTCCTTTCCACCAACAATAGCTCGTAGGACACGCACGTCCTAAAATCCAGGCGCCCCGTCATCTCTTAAACACTGTAGGTATTCTGAAAAGCGTAGGAAACTTATGGATGAATAAGTCTGAATAAGCGAAGATTAAAGACACCTGAAATTTGAGATTATTGACCTAATGTGTGACATGTGCTAAAAGGAATCTCTTTCCGCCCTTTGGTTTCACACATCTGCTTTGTTATATTTGCCCAGCCTATTTTATAAGACAAATATATATAATGTATCCTACATCACTTCCTGAGGCACGCTTGATACTTAAAGGTCCGCGTATATATCTTGCTTTCTCAGTCTGCTTTGGATATGTGCCTACGCATCTCCATAATCAAATTCTCATTTCCACAGCCTCCTTTTTTCAAAAGGGGAAGCCGCATGGAAAATAATCAGCAGAACATCCCATAGTTTTGAATGGAGAGCAACAGATGTCTGACAGAAGAAAAGGCTGGTGGACCACCCCCAAACCCTCTCCCTTATGCTCTGCTAAAGGAACCATTTAGGTGGTTACCATGGCACTGATAAGACACTTTCATCCATTCTGCGCACTGCGTGCATGCTGATGCTAGATCATCATTCCGTTCTGCAGAAATGACAGGGGCTGCCGGCCCCTCAGCTCACGTAAGGGAAGCGCAACTCTGGCCATATTAATCACATTCTTTGCAATGTTCTTTGCAGAATTCCTAACACTGGTAACATAAAACTAATTACCAGTTGAGCAGTATAGAAGTCTCATTCGGAGCTGCAGAAGGTGCTTGATTGCAGTTATTGTCTGAAGATGGTGTGCTGCAAAACATTAGGTTTTATCAGTGCCATCATCATCTGTTTCATTAAAAATAATATGTTACTTCATAAATGAAAAGCACCGTATCTGCTCTGGAATATTGAATAAAGAATTCTGGATGTCAATTGTTCTTCTGTTTCAAATAATTTCACAGAAAATTGTGATTCTTTTTAAAAAGTGGAAGGATTCCATACCCTTGGCTGCATCTGTATTATTATTATTATTGTTGTTGTTGTTGTTGTTATGTGGTTTTTCTTATACTAGCTCCCCCAGGAATGTTTATGGACTGCCTGTATCAAGCCCAGTTCCTACAGTTATGCAGTCAGGCTTTTAATGTTGCCACCGTTTTGCAGATGGTTGCATGTATGACTCATTGACAGAAGTGTGAATGATTAGCTTTGCCTTTTCTAGCTTAATTTTCTTTAACTTGTCTTCACCACATCACACGTCGCTCGGTGGCTGTGGGGAAACAACATGTCACGTCAGCCATGTGGGCCCTGCTACACAAATGTTTGTGCACATGAATCTTTACACTGGGTCTGTCTCACGAAGCCGAATTTCTTGCTTAGCCTGATAACTTAAGGTACCCAAGTTTAAATAGACTTTATCTTCATTCACTTATATTCAGCCCAAACTACCTTAAATACGACAAGTTACCCGGCTAAACAAGAAATCCTGCTACTCCTGGACAGTTCATTATTTTTTTACATCTGTACTCCAAATACTGTAAGGAACAAAGCTGGTGGCAGTGGGTAGCGGACTGGGGGGGGGGGGGGGGGCTCCCGGGTCAGACTCCCGGTCTCCCGGGCAGGTGTCCCTGCCTCTGGAATGGGTGGGGGTGCTGGTGGTGGGGGGGACAGTTGGTGCTTTTCATTGTCAAGTACCTTATGCTCCGTCTTTCAAGGCCCTTCTGTCCCTTTGAAGTCCCCCCCCCTCCCTTGGTAATGACCCCCTCAGTGTTCCCGCTTAGCGCCGCTGAGAAACGCGCAGGAGACCCTCCTCCGGGTGATAAATGCAACCTTACGCGTCATAATTGCATCAAGGAGTTCCTGGCCAGCTAAATGCATTTTCATATCCGTTAATTATAGTCAGGCGCGTTTTGCATGTGCTACGAGGGTTTTTTTTTCTTGTTTTTGAATGGAGGTCAGGATATTGAAACAGGAATTGGTTTTTCGCAGTGCGTCGCATTATGGACTAGAGAGCGTGTCTTTATTTACGCAGCTTTATTGTCAGACGGGTGCAGGGTTCTTATTTTTATGCAGTATTTACTGAATCTTTCAGATGGGTATCATTATGAAGCGCGGCGGCACAAGGGGTCCAGACCGAATGTAATCATTGTTGATCTGATTGAATTTTTCATGGCTGACTAACGGCTAAAGAGCCCCCCCCTCGGCACAGCACCTGCTCAGCCAGCAGCTGCCTGAGGCACACTGGTCTCCCTTCCTGACCAAAACTCCCCCCCACCTCACTCAGCCGCCGTCCCCGTTGATGGACCCCCCGCCGCCCCTGGTCACAGTCACTCCAAAACTTTAAACTCTGCATATCCTCTAAAACCAAACCAAGTCAAGTAGACTTTATTGTCATACCATTTACAGGTATACAGTGGCAAGAAATAGTGCCCCCCCCCAGGACTGCAGTGCGACGCACAGCCATGGGTGGATAGTTCCGGTCCAGCTAGCGAAAGTCCAGACCAAGATTTTCTTTCAACCAACTAGTTGAGTATGAAGACTCACAATGACAGAGTACTCAGCTGGTTGGTTGAAACAAAACCTTTTTCTGGATTTTTACTCTCTGGACCTGAACTATCCACCTCTGCATATGACAGCAGTGACAAGGGGAAGGTATACGCAGTGCTTGAAGTGAGAAAAAATAAGTGCAGGAACTCGAATTTTCTCGGGCCACTGTCGCTGCATCGGATCAGTTTCAGTAAGTACCGGAACGCAGAAAAAAGTGGCGGAACCCAAAAGACGAAAATACAGAAGTTCCGGAACTGCGTTCCGCTGCGTTCCGGCCCACTTCAAGCCCTGGGTATACATAGTATGTATGTAAACAAGAAGTAATGCAGCAGCAGCAGTGAATCCCTGTTTAGTTCTGTCTCATAGGTAGCTCTCCCTAATATGTAGCTCTGTCATAGGTAGCTCTATCTCATGGGTAGCTCTATGTCATAGGTAGCTCTATATTAGGGCTGGGCGATATCATATCGATATTATATCGCCCATGTGCAATAATCACTAGGGCTTCAGATTGACAGGCGCAACATTTGGCCGGACGCCAGGTTTTCGGTGCTGTACGGACATTAATTTACGCCCATAATTTGGTAAAAGGATTATTAGTATGGCTTAAATTTATTAATGAGATACGTTTTGTAAAACCCAATGCTTCGTCTGTCATCTGACCGGGCGGTGACTATTGCGCATGCGCAATATAATATCGATATGATATCGCCCAGCACTACTCTGTGTCATAGGTGGCTCTATGTCATAGGCAGCTCTGTGTCATAGGTAGCTCTATGTCATAGGTAGCTCTATGTCATAGGCAGGTCTGTGTCATAGGTAGCTCTATCTCATAGGTAGCTCAATATCATAGGCAGCTCTATGTCATAGGCAGCTCTGTGTCATAGGTAGCTCTGTGTCATAGGTAGCTCTATATCATAGGCAGCTCTGTGTCATAGGTAACTCTATTTCATAGGCAGCTCTGTGTCATAGGTAGCTCTGTGTCATAGGTAGCTCTATCTCATAGGTAGCTCTATGTCATAGGCAGCACTGTCTCATAGGTAGCTCTGTGTCATAGGTAGCTCTATCTCATAAGTAGCTCTATGTCATAGGCAGCACTGTCTCATAGGCAGCTCTGTGTCATAGGTAGCTCTATCTCATGGGTAGCTCTATGTCATAGGCAGCTCTATCTCATAGGTAGCTCTATGTCATAGGTAGCTCAGTCCCCCGTCATGCATCGGTGGCATTACCCTAGCCGTTGGGTACCAGTGCATCATCCTCATTTGCATTGCGACCTTGTTTACTTTATCCTCAGAATCCTACACTCTCCAGCCTCTTACACACCTTCCAAGTTTCATCTGACCCATGAAAACAGGTGAGCATTTTACTAAAGCTATTTATGTGTCCCACTGCCATGCCTGAGGACAGCAGATCCCTTCCTGCGATGGAAATCTGCAGGTCCTGTTCACCACTCCATCTGCAGATCATCAGCCCAGTTCTCTGCATCCTCACTCCTTTTGATGCAGGATGCAAGCATTTCACTTCTGGCTCAGTCTGGTGTAAAAACTGCCTGGTCTTGCCTCTTATTTATGTTCCATTGCACAATAACTTATGTATCGTTTGACTGATTACAAGCAATATTGACCCATCAGGGTTTCTGTACCTACAATGGTGTTTCACTCACTAAAGGTGTTCGCTTTATGTTTTCTCATACAGTTCAAATATACTCTTTATGCATGATATCACTTATTTTCTCTTCAAGGCAACAAGAGATGTTACCTAAAAGATGTACATTTCTAATTGTATGGTAGTTAGTGTGACTCATGAGGCACTGTGAGGCAGAGTGCATTTCTGTGATTTAAATGGGGGGGGGGGGAGTGTCAGTGCATCTTGACAGGAAATCAGCGGAGAAAGGGGGGCTTTTTCACACGTGTACAGCATGTCGGGTACAAACACTGTCCCTCTGTGAGGATGTGTGATTGGCTGACTGTGACGTTTCTACTGACTTCCACTTGTGTATTACAAAAACAACAGAAAAGATAATAAACCAAATTTTTAAGCTGTGAAAGAAATGAGTGGCAAATAAATGGTTATCTTACGTGTCATGCAACATTTATCAAACTAAAAATGGCCAGTTAGCAGAAACAGTAATACTTCAAGCCATGTTTTCAGCAACTTATGAAGACTTATAAAGAGATAAATATTTATAAAAAGGCATAATACATTATAGCCATGTGTATTAGGCATTATGAATTCTTTATGAAGCTCTCATCTATAATGCACTATAGATCCCCCTATAACGCATTATAATGGTCGGTATAAGCATTAAGGATGGTTTGTACTGCATTATAAAGGTGTCTACAGTGCATTATAGTTGAGAACTTCACAAGGCAGTCATAATGCATAATCAACAAGGCTAAAGTGTGGTATGCCTTTTTATTAATATTTATAGGCATATTTATAATGCTTTATGAATGCATTATTATTTGTTATGAAAGTGTTTATAAATGACTAAAAACATGGCCTTAAGTAAAGTGTTACCATAGAAACTGTGTGTGTGTGTGTGTGTGTGTGTGTGTGTGTGTGTGTGTGTGTGTTACGTACATGGCTAAAGGTAGCTTTGTTTGGTGCCATTGAAGGTGACGCAACACAGTGGGGCTTTGTTCCTCTGTCCGGGTAGCGGCACCCAGGCCTGCCACACAGCAGGCCTGCCACACAGCAGACCCACATGCGAGAGCCTTTTTAACGAGGTGTTCAGGCTGCACAGAACACTGCTTCCTCCCTGGCCAATGGTCAGCATTCACACAAACAGGTCATAAATCTGCCCAAAACAACCAGCAGTGTTGATTTGGGCAAACATAATTATATAATAGAATATAGAATAACTGGATAGTGGGGGAATTGTCTTGTTGCATATTTGACCGTGCTTTCCGTGATTCTGTGTAATGTAGGTAAATATACTTTTTATGCATAATATTGGCACTTTCCATCTATCTTTGTGTGTGTATGTGTGTGTGGGTCAGATATACATTAAATTGTGTGAACCAAATGTTCTCCTCAGTGTGATAAAAACCTGTTATTTTGACATTGTGGGGACCATTTTTTAGGTCCCCACAAAGATCTGTGAATGCAATCAAAAAAGTAAAAATGCTAAAAGTCTCATATTTTGTTTGGTTACTTATGGTTATGGTTAGGGCTGGGTAGGGGTTAAGGTTGTCATCGTTAGCATTAGCATTGTGTGTGTTTATGGGTTAGGGTTAGGGTTAGGGTTAGGGCTGGGTAGGGGTTAGGGTGTCATCGTTAGCATTAGCATTGTGTGT